GCCCAGGGAGGTGGTGGAGTCTCCTTCTCTGGAGATATTCAAGACCCACCTGAACACGTACTTGTGTGACCTGGTGTAGGGAAGCTGCTTTGGCAGGGGGTTGGACTCCATGATCTCTGGAGGTCCCTTCCAACCCCTATGATTCTGAGATCACTCGTGAGTCTTCAGATGAAGGTGGAATTTCTGATCTATAATCTACACAACTATATAAATCACATATTACAGCAAAGTTGTGCGTGATATTTCCAATTCAGAAAATAATTTATTTGCCAAAGAGAGATAAAGTGGAACAGAAACTATTCCAACGCTTCTGAAGCCAGGAGAGAAGCTTCCCTTCCTGTCCAGTTGCAGCCCAGCCATCAGCACAGCTCTGCAACCACACTGCACAGCACTGCAGAAAGGCATCCTGCAGCCCAGAGCTCTGCCACGCAGCAAGGGAGGAATTTCCTTGGGCTCAGAAGGGCAAGCTGAGGAATTGAGTTTGTTAATGCACATCACCAGTCATTTCCTTTTCTGTAAAACACACTGTGAAGCATACAGCTCAACTTCTGCTGTTACCATTGAGACTGACTGTACCTAAGCCACTTAGTCTTCCACAAATCCACCTCTGAAGCTCCTCCTCAATGCTGAGGTGTGCACAGAAAGCATTCCATGCTCTCTTGAACAGGCTGGAGAACTTCCCCAAACTTCATATTCTTTTCCAGCAGTAGAGTCAGACACCTTGAAGCCCACAACAACTAATAGCAAATTACTTTTTCTATCTTCGAGCTTATTGCTTTTTACCTTTCACCCCCCCATCTCACTTGGCACATGCTGCCAGTCCGTAGATTCCATCACCCTTCTGATTTTCAAGTTTCCTTTCTAGAAATTAGAAACATCCCCTAAATACAATGATTTGGAAAACCAACGCGTTGGGATAAACCACACCTCCCAGCTCATCTCTCCTACATGGGTCCATGAATGGTGGGACCCATTTTATGTAGGGCCAATCAGTTTCAGACTATTTTAGATAAGAAAGCACTTCTAGTCATTTGTAAAAAGGGATTCCATATGTAAAACATATTCTGGCTTCAGCTTGTATTTTTAATACAGCATTATTTCTTGGCCATCTCTGTAATTACAACCTAATTAATTAATTAAAGCCTTACAATGCACAGTGCACCCCTCCCCCAGGAGCAGGGCAGGCAGGGAGCCCCGCATGTCCCTCCTGCTCTCAGCTCCCCCCCTTCCAGCCAGCTGCACCAACCCTTCACCTGAGGCAGCAGCTGGACACAGCACGGACTGCCCTGCACCCAGCCAGGAGCCCCACAGCTTCAGAGCCACAGAGGTGGAAAGAGAGGAGCACAGCTGGTGTCAGACACACCTCCAGCAGCCAAGGAGCAGTGCTCTCACTGACAGCTCTTCGGCTGCTTGAGTGTCTCCATGGAAACTTCCATCCTTCCGAAATTCTAATATGCAGCTACACACTTATTGTGCTTTGCGTTCCACGTAAAACACCAACAGAACTGAGAGCACTGCAATATCTGCTCCGTTAGTCAGGCCTCCTTCATCTGGGAGGTGCATTAGAGAAGGAAAAGCTCCCTGAACTGCTCACCTTACAGCAAACCCCTCCAAGGGACACAGTGGTGGTTTCTGCACTACTCCACGCTTTGCCAACAGCATTTGTTATTCCATAACATGGCCATAAGCTCTGCAGGACAGAACCTCTCTGTAAAAAGAAGACGACAGGTTGATTTGGGTCTAAACAAACAGAAACCAAACAATACAGCAGATAAGACACTGTTCTTCAAGGAACTCATTTTCCTTACTTTCATTTGTGCGCTGCTTTTTATAATTCAAATCAAGCTGCAGTGCCAGAAAATGGCAGACATGCCTGTGGAAGCAAGGGCTGACCACCACGAAACGAAGGCCAAAACATTCCTGGCCATCTCTCAGAAGGGAGCGGGGCAGAGGCGAACCAGAACCAGGTTGCACTAAGCAGCCACATTCTGGGGCCCCTGCAATCCCATTCACTTTGTCTCTTCTGGGAAAAGCAGAAGGAACTGCTCCTGAGTCGTGGTGTGAGCAAAAAGGCTCAGCCACCGACAGCACCATCCTCCCTTCCCTGCAGAAGGCAAGTACCAGCTCTCTGCTAACACAAATACACAACATAGAAATTGAAGCGTTTGGAAAGCACAGCCCACCTTGGTGAGGACTCACAGGGGTGAATAGCAGTGATTTACCTGAACCAGGAGCCCAGAATGGCCAACCTGCATCCTACCTGTAGAGTACAGATCCCATGCCTCTTACAGGAGAGCACTCGGTATTTCCATTCCATCACTTCTTTTTAACATCTCTAAACACCACTGCGATGCCCAGAACATCATTAAGGGGGAGGAAAAATAAAATAAAAGCCAGACCTGGCTTGAAAAGTCAAGGCTTAAACCTGAGAACACTTCCATCTCTGAGCATTACACAAAAAGTAACAGTATGCAGAAAGACAAAGTAAGAGAACGCAAAAGGAAATGAAAGAGAACAACTCACAAGATTCGGAAAATTAGTTTGACTGCAGAGTCTGCGAGTTAAGAGTGAAAGTGACAATTCAGGGTAAAGTCAAAAGATTCAGGCACTCCAGGAATTCTGACAGGCTTTCAGGCACCTCAGGCTGCTCCTGTGCAGCAGGCAGTGAATATTTCACGCTGTTTATTTTGAGTATTCCTACTGGGGAGTCAGGTCTGTCTGGTCAATTAAAAAACAGATCAATAGTTGGGAAAGAGAAAAAAAAAAGTATGTATGATAAGTATTCACAAGGAAGCAATCCCACAACACTGACAGTGCCATGAGCTCCTGCAGGCACCAGGCCCACGCCTGCTCTCAGCCTTCCACCTGCTCAAGCACCAGGAAAGCTTCCTGGGAGCATCAGGGCTTGCTTGTGCCAACCTGAGGACATTTAGCATTCTCAGCAAGCAGCTGCCAAATCATTCACAGACAAAAAAATCCAAAAGACAGAGCAAAAAGATGGAAAATGTGAGTAACTTCTCATTTTGGTTAAAATGATGACAAGATACAAGAACTAATGTGCACACAGCCCTACCCCTCAGCAACCAGACTGTCTCATCATCCCTGGGGGGTTGGGGCTGAGCACAGTGCTCTGCGCTGCTCTTCTCTTCTCTATGGAACTGCTCCTGAGCTGCCAGCAGCGTGCTGCCGTGCTGTGGGCGGTCAAATTTCATTCATATCCTTCTATAAACAACTTAACAACAAATTACCACCGCATTTCCATCCCACGGGACCACCTCAGCAACTCCTGCAGAACACCTTTCAGAGTACACGGAGATCTGCAAAGCCTCCAAGAGAAAAATACCACCTCTGTTTGGAAAAAAAAGTTTTATTTTTTGCTAAACAAAGTGTTATAATCCCTGAAAAGAATGGATATAAGTTTTGAGAAGAGAGGAACAGGGCCAGTGCCACCCACGGCTATGACTGCCATAGGCATGCATAGCACAAAGCAGAAAGCCCACTGCTACCAATGCCCAGCCAGCAAGAGACAGCTACCAGAAATTCTGAGCCTGGACAACAAAATTTCAGACCAGGGATTCTTAGAATGAAGCTTTAGAACAGAAAGCTTGGTCTACAAGAACCTAGAAAACAGCCTGATTAAAAATTACCCCCATATCTGTCACCAACCCTGGAGGTGTTCAAGGAACGTTTGGATGTTGTGCTGAGGGACATGGCTTAGCGAGAACCATCGGTGATGGGTGAATGGTTGGACTGGATGATCCTGCGGGTCTTTTCCAACCTTAGTGATTCTATGATTCTGTGATCTACAAGGTTCCAAGACACCCAACAGCAGTCGTAACAGCAGTGCTTCCCACCAGCACAGGAGAGTCAAATAAACATTTCCCCCAGCCATAGTAAAGCTGCCCTTTAATACAACTGTGTGCAATAGCTGGACCGAGTCACTGCCCTGCAGCCACACCGCGCCCAGCACAGCGGCACGGCTGGCTTCTGAGTCCTGCAATGCGCTGGTACAGCAAGCCTAAGGAACTGAACCAAGGACTGCACAGCAACAGCAAGGCACTAACATGGGGAGTACTGGCAAACAGAGCCAGCACTGCTTTACCAACGGGTTTTTGTATTTTTAAACGTTTTTACAATGCTTTCTCTGTCTCTTCATTTGCTTGTTTAAGCTGTGAGCAGAACGCACAGATACACAACACAGAGCTAATTGCTGATCAGCCTCTTCCAAAATGCTGATCTTCACACTGGGCAACAGCACGCAGCTCTCCACACACGCGCTGCTGTTGATGGAAGCAAACAACTCACAGTAAATGGCAGAGCCTCTTCATTCATTTATCTGGAACGACTACAGCAAACATCTCAGAGCAGTTACCTTGATTAGGACTAACACCGCTCCCAAGCAATCATCTCCCTTTCAAGGTGTTTACAATTTCGATGCAGCACAGATCACATACCGCACTTTTCTGCATCTCCTGGCTGCATAAGTACAACCCTCACTTGCTTCCATTAAGAGTTCTGATATTAAAAAACAGAAATAATTCCAGCATTTGCTGTGACACCCGGCGCAGCAGCCTGATTTCTCAGAGAGCAAGGCAGAGCAACGCACAACATTGCAGAGCACTGCAGAGCAACGCCACAGAACAACAAAGCAGCAGAAGAGACGCACGATGCCAACACGCCCAAGGCCACGTGCCAGGCACACGCACCACGTATACACACATATACACACCTATACACACCCGCAGCTCCCATTCCCAAAGAAGAGAATCACGAGCAGGACAGCTCCACCCCTTAGGGGAGCTCTCACACCACCTGCGGTCATTCCCGCTGAGCGCGTTCTGCAAGAGGAGCCCAGCTACAGCGCAGAGCCCGGGGAGCTGTGTGGACAGACACAACTGCTGGCAGGACAGCGGGCGGAGCAGCACAACCCGAGTCCTGTGCGTGCAAACTCGGCTCCCCACGGCCGCCCGTCGCCCACCTCCCCAGCACCGCGTTCGTACTCACGGCCAGCGCCGGGTTCACGGCTCTGCAGGTCCTCGCCGCGCCACAAACCGCGCCGAACTTTCCAGAAGGGCGGTGGCTCTCACAGCTCGGCCTGGAACCGCCCCGAGCCCAGCGAGCACCAATCACCGCGCGCCGCGGGAAGCCGGGCCAATGGGAGCGCCGGCCCGGCGCGCGGCTCTGCTCAGCGGGGTGCTGCAGCTGCGCAGTGTTGGCGGTGCTGCGCGTGGGGCGCTGCTACGCGCGTTGCGCACCGGGAAAACTGCCAGGAGCTTCGCGCCGCGCCGTGGCTCCGCGTATCCGTTCGTCGTGTCGCGTGTCTGTTCGTCGCGCCGCGGGATGCTTGCTGTTGGTCACTGCTTTTTCAGAGCTGCCATTGCTGTTTCCATAGTTCTCCCACTTTTCCCCATGATGCTGCCCTGGGATCATTAATTTGCTCGCTGCTGGTTTACATTAATGGCACAACTCCCCCCAGCCCCCGTAGATTACAGACTGACAACAAAGCAGCCTCGTGCTCTGTGATCCACGTGTGCACCATCAGGCCCACGGCCATTTTGCTGTCTGAAGCTCTGACCTTCGCTGCCTGCAGCTGACACGGATCCCGACCGAACAGCAGAGACGTGAGCTCCCAGCAGGCAGCACACAGCTTTCTGTCCCTGCTCGCACTGCCCCACGACGGCACCGTTAGCGGTGCACCTCCTCAGCACTGCCAGGCAGCCTGAAAACACGTGCGGCAGCTCATAAAGTAACCGTGATTAGTTTTTAAATAATTAACTGACACCAATCCATTTTTTCCAGGAGGTAGAATTGTTTGCTTCCAGCCTAGTTTTCATGAGACTGAATGTGTACAAGTCTATGGGGCCGGATGGCGTGCATCCCAGGGCTCTGAAGGAGCTGGCTGAGGTGGTTGCCGAGCCGCTCTCTGTCATATTTGAGAAGTCGTGGCTGTCAGGTGAGGTCCCAGATGACTGGAGGAAGGGTCACGTCACTGCCATTGACAGGAAAGGGAGCAAGGAGGACCCCAGGAACTACAGGCCGGTGAGTCTCACCTCTGTGCCTGGGAAGATCATGGAACAGATCATCCTGGATGACAGGCTTGATCACATGAAGAAAGGGTGTGTGATCCGTGACAGCCAGCACGGCTTCACCAGAGGAAGGTCATGCTTCCTCTGGTGGCCTTTTATGATGGAGTGACGGCATCGGTGGACAAGGGAAAGGCGACCGATGTCATTTACCTGGACTTGAGCAAGGCCTTTGACACGGTCCCCCACCATATCCTTATCTCCATAATGGAGGGATGTGGATTTGATGGGTGGACCACTCCATGGATAAGAAACTGGTTGAAAGGCCGCAGACAGAGGCTGGTCATCAGTGGCTCCATGTCCAGGTGAGGCTGGTAATGAGCAGCATCCCCCAGGGGTCTGTCTTGGGACCGGTGCTCTTTAGCATCTTTATCAATGATATCGATGATGGAATTGAGTGCACCCTCAGCAAGTTTGCTGACAACACCAAGCTGAGTGGTGTGGTTGACAC